AGAATAGAAATCCAAGATTATTGCCATCATGTTCTACTTTGTTTTCCCAAAGCATGACTAAAGTATCTCTGAGAAGTCTTCATTGCATTCCACATGGTATTTAGTATGTGATGTAAGCATTGCATGTATGCATATCCATATGTTTTCCTCACCTAATGCAAGAGGAGAAATAAAAGGAAAATATTATATTTATCCAAGCATGCTTCCATCATTATTACACAAAATATGTTAAATTTCTACTTTCATCAGATGATGAAAGAACCACCCCATGATACCAACCAAAACCCTTTCCATTTGTCCCTCAAACTTTCACCTCTAAAAAGACTTCTTTGTGTTAAATTTATGAATGAGGTTAGAGCTTACAAAAGTGAAGGATTAATAACATTTGCTTGAGCCAAACATAGTACGATAGGCACTGTGCATGGTCCCCTACACGGCTCTGCCAATCCATCTGAAGTCTGACCTGCAGTACCCCTGCTGCTTTTCCAATCCTAGGCCTCTCACAAGTAGAGACTGCCAATGTAGCTGAACGGTGCCAAAGTGTCTGGTGGTTTTGCAATATAGCCAAATAGGGACTACGATGAGATGAAACTAATTTCCACCCATGAGCTGAGCAAAGATGTGAACTTAGGTGAAAGGATGGAGTACCAGACCATATAATGCTAGGCAGTCCTTACCAGCCACATACATAGAGACAAGGGAAATTAGGAGGGTGGGGCGGGGGGGGTTGGAAATAACCAAAACAAACCCCACCAGACAACAAACTCTGCATAGAGACTGACTTATTGGCCACAGAAAGGTATGTTGAGTGAGTGTCAAAAAGATCCGCAAAATAGCCCAAGAAATATTTATAGTTTACTTTCTGACTTGCAAAAGAGAAGGACTGTCAGAATGGAATGCTAGACAACGCAAAGAATCTTTGACCTAGATTTTTAAGGGAATTATAGAAGGTAAGGTATACTTATTAAAACAAGTGGAGCCTAAATGGTTTTAACTTTACCACGTTAGCTCCTGCAATGCCAATTTAAACTATCACTTTCTATTAAAAAAAAAAAAAAGGTTAAATTGGGTGGTATTCAGTTCTGATTTAGAAACTCAATAGAAACCTAAAGTTTAAGTCACAGTTGTAGCAGCTGAAACAGTATTTAAAGCTGTAGCCATCCTGACCCAAATAAAAAAGGAAAAAGGAAACCCTTTCCTTTAAAACTATTACTGTAGACGTGGCTTTAGGGATTGCATCAGCTGCTAGGGCTACAATTTGAGCTTCTTTTTTTAATTAAAGATATACATTAACATTACAAGGGAGAGGAAATAGAATTCTGTTGCATTTAACAAGTTTAATCTATGTACAGAAGCACTGATCTTGAAAGAAAGCTAGACAAAGTTAGAAGAACCACCTCTTAAAAATGAGTAGAGAACTTGCTTTAAGTATCCCAGTTGCCTACATTACAGAGAAAAACCAAAACTTCTCTAAGCAATGTCTAAAAATTTTCATTTGTAGAGCAAAATTTGCACACCCCAGCTACTTGCATTTACTTTCCAAACTTATTCCAAATTCAGGTGCCACTGCTCTCACTACATCAAATCTTGAGACTTCAAATCCACGTATTTTTCCCTTTTTATCTAAGCACGCTTTTTACCATAAGCATTTTACTTACAGATTTTGCAAGCTTTTCTTTTTTAATAGTAAATTGCACTATCTACATTCTGTTATTTTTGCTCAGGAAACAAGCAAATAATGAGACTCAGAAGACTTTCCAAAGTGATGGGGGATGAGTGTGACAAAATACTGCAAACACTACCTGTCCAGGGGACATCTGGTGATCATTCTCTACACAGACCCTGCACATTATAAAAACTATTAAAAAAAGTAAAATCTTTTTTCAAAAGTGTAACTTTTTACAGAGACCTATAGAGAACAGTAAGAAACAGTTTTATAAAACGCAGTTCAGTAACGTTCTATTGTTTTTACATGCAAAATGGAAGTATCCACTCTAGTGTCTGCCGAAATCAATGCTAATAAAGCCAGAGAACTTGTTTTAGAATTCTTCTAGATATATGCTGGGCTGGTTTTCCAAAATAATTTTCAAACACATCGATTCTTGAATCAAAACATGTCTGAACCTCTGATGTTGTAGTAAATGAAAAATATGTATGTTTCAGTGCCTGGGATAAAATCTAAACAAAATGTAAACATAAACCGCATCTACCCTCCACAAAAAAAAAAAGTCAATGTTTCCTTGAAAAACACAAATTCCACTGCTTTTCAGAACTCTATTTAATAGAGGTGAAGAATGCGTAAGGCCAAATCTATAGATCTATCTATCAGCAGAATTATACTCATCAAAAACATGAAGAGCTATTCCTGACCTACAGTTTATCCTGCCAAAGCCTCTAGCATTGCAGTTATATCATCAAACCTGCTTTTACTGGCATAACTACTTTGATGGAGAGCATTCAATGTGTATGCGGCAAGTTATGTTGGAAAAGACAGGAGTTTATAGAGTATGAACTACATCCACATTAACAGTATTTTGCCAGAAGAGCGTATTAGCCAAGCTATCCTAGTATGGTCTTGCCTAACTTCAAGCTTTTCTTTGCTTTCATCATCAGTGTAAAAACCTGCTAGCAAGCTTTGCAATCTGCTCCTATAACTGACAATGCAGTAGCAGGTTGTGCCACCCACAGAGATTCTCACTTGCATCAGCATAGCTTTCCATCAGCATATTGCTCATCTCTACATAATCAAAGGCTAGATCAGAACCTTCTTCAGCATATCTGCACACCTGTAACCATCTATCTTCAGGTCTCGTTATCAAGGATGCTGAATTCCCACTGATGCCAGAAGCATTTGGAACCCTTATCAAAACATATATACATACACACACATAAAATCAGACTGTATATTCAAGTTCCTAATGCAGATACAATTATTTTAATCTCTGCCATTCAAGTTTGGATGTTCTAGGCCTTGTTTCTCCTTCCTGTGGAAGAAAGGAGAGCAACCATCAGAAACGTTTCAAAAAGCATAGCGTTTTGGACTTGAATACCAAACCAACATGAAATGGGTCTGTAAAGGCTTCTGTTAATTTCAGTTTCAACCACTAACACATCTTCACAAACTTCACTTCAGCATTGCTGCAAACAGTGGCAAACATTTGTACTTAAGGGCATCTATTTTATTTCACTATGTCAGCTAATGATGCTTATCAGCAACAGAGGGCTGTACACTAATATTCCTGAGCATATTTCATATTGCTAGTCAAAGACAAACAGTGTGGGTATTTTTTATTCTTTGAATATACAACTTTTTGGTTTTGCTAAAAAACACTTCTGAATCCACTCATGCATGACCTCTACCTGCCCTAGAGAAGAACAAGAGTAACCTCAATTTAAAAAAGAAAGTGGAATTAACTCTATTCACATCTTTTAATTACGACACTATCTTTCTTCCCATCTGTTTACCGAAGTACTGAAATCCAAAGTCTTAAGATAAAAACAAATTCCCCATAAACACCACTCATTTGAGTCAGGAGATCTTGCTGGTTAATCATTTATACATAGTTTACATCTGTAGTTATCCAAAGAAATGAAAACAAATGAGAAAAGGATTGGACCCCAGCAGTGCAGTGGGATGGAAAAGTGAAGCACTGGCCTAATAGACATGGTCTGAGGTGCTCTGGCTGCACATAACATGTGAAGAAAGATAATCACATAGGGAAGCAAAACCTCCTGCATTTCTGCAGTACCTGCTATGTTGATAGGGAAGAAATGGAGCCCATCAGTATGTGTGATGTGCCACTGATAACTCTAGCATCACTTTAGCCTGTCATCAATGAAGTAATGAGCACATTATTTACAGAATATCATATTCAGTACCTACTAACCCAAAACATGTTGCTTCAAAGACTTCCACTCACAAGCTTGATTCTTCTGTAACACAGTGAGTACATTCACACTGCAATCTCTCAATTGCTTTTCCTGCTAAGTAGATCATAAAAATACATGGTCAAGGAAAGTTTTTTTTCACGTATTAGTGAGTGCCAGACAAAATCTGTTATTATACTTGTTTATAGCCTCCAAAAAATTTTTTGACTTTCAAACCTCTGTACCTCGAAAGTCCGTGTAGAACGTCACAATTTCCTTTTCCTTTCAGCATTCATCCACACTTACGCACAAATTCAGAAAGAAACTTAAGCCCCGTTACCTTTCAAGGAAACATTTTCCTAACTTAGAGCCACAGACACCTTAAAAATGAATTTATATTAAGAAAAATTAAACACCTCTGAAATATAAGGCCATGTCTTTAGATGGCTAAATGTGGAGGTAGGTGTCCAACTTTTAGTCTTTAGGTTTGACCTCATTAACTTTCAAATTCCAAGGGGTAAATATTATTGTCTATATTTCCAGTCTACCACTGAACACACAGTGTCATTTCATAATGAGATTTGTGCCTACAGTGAATGCTGAACTCAATTCTCTTTGAAACAGTAGGGTTAGGATTCAAACTAGGAGAAACGTGTAATTTTAAATTCTCAGTCCTTTCTCTAGCAGCTCAAGATCTTTCACATCCTACTTGCGAAAAAGACCGACCACCTTCAGAACTGAAACCTGGCATTAAATACAACAGAATATTTTAGTGGTTAATTGTTAATTCAAGGGAGCTAGTAGAGGTAGGATTGTGATCCAGAATATTGCTCTGTAATGCCATTACAACACACATGGAGTATCTTCTTGTACTTGTATCAAGGAGACGGAAAGATACTATGAGGACAATACCTGCATTTGAATTAGAGACTGTGACTTCTGTGAAGTCTTAACCACTTACACTCACAGTCCCTGGGAAGCAATGCAATGTTGAGCTCCGGTTTTGCCAAAAGGCATATACATGAGAAAGAAGAAGGAAGTGTTATGACAGTCTGTACCAATATTCACAAGCATATTCTACAGTACTGGAATAGAGTAATTGAATCCTACAGTTAACATATATTAAACAATACCTGGCAGGAGCTGTTGGGTAAATTACTTTTATATGCTGGAAAGCCATGTCTTGATTCAAAATTTGTTTTATCCATGTTCTTGCTCCTTGGCCAGTATCACCTGTATCACACAGAAGAGTACAACAAGAATTATTCTGTGCATTTAGAATGAAAACTATACAATGTCAAATATATTTATACTAGATTGACCTGATTTCTAAATCACAATCTTCCAAAATGCTAAAAACCAACTTTCTAGGATAACCTCAATCCCCCTTCCAATGAAGATGGACTCAAAACTTCCTAGAAACAGACTACTTAAGAAGTCCCACAGCATAAGTTTAATATATACTTTACTACATCCAATGGCTTAAGTACCTCCTAATCAGGCACAAGGCCTTACCTCTTACTTGCAACTTACCTTACTGGCCAAGAACAGCGATAAACAAAAAATACTGATGAACATCATAAAAAGTGAGATAAAATACCTGCTGCTCCCCTTAGAAAAGACAATTACTTTTACTACAGAATTTTATATTAACCCACTTCAAAACTTAGTCAAGAGCAATAAAAAGGATCTTCACATTTAATTGTGCTAATATTACACACAGGCTTTAAAGGAAGTATCAGTCAAACACCCCCAGCATTTTGTAAAAGTGCTCAAGAGATGAGTTTGGGTTAAAATATCTGGCAGGCTCCTCAAAAACCTTAATCCCACAGTTCCATTTGAAAGCTAGTTGAGATCTGACTCTCAATGTGTTTCTTCCTAGTCTTATCAACTCAGCCTATAGCCAAAACCCCTGCAGACTGAAGTGCCATGAACAGATATACAGGATGAACTCTTATGCAGACATCACGTGGTCCTTTCAAACAAATATATATATATATACCACACAGTTTTCTAGAGCTTGTCTTTGTGTCACTGGTACTATAACTTCACTGCCACCTCTCTGAACAGTGTGCACACACGTCTCCACAAGAGTTAAACAGTGCTTCAAGCTTGAGGAAACTGGCCCATCAAGGAATATGGTTTATATTAGGCAGTAATACAACATGTAGTAATGTTCAACCTAAAAATCTGGTGTGGATTCAGCAAACTGGAATTTCACTACTGCCACTTATGCCGTAGGACTTCAGCCTTGTTTGAAGTCGAGGCTCCCACATATTATCAACTCAAACTGCTAACCTGAGTTAACAGTATTCTCTATTACTTTATTTCGCATTGGTCAGTTTGACTTTAGAACTCACTCTATTCTTCTCAGTAAAATGGCCAAACCAGAAGGGGGGAAAAAAATAAAAACCCTAAGCCAGGCTTACTGCCATGTTACATGGGTTCATCTGAACAACATCACATGAATATACTAATTTATTGTTACAATGACTACAATTCCCCAATGGAGAAGATTTGCTCTTGCTTTAGCACTCCAAATTCAGTGATCTTTATTTACACAAAAAATTAATGCATCTTCAGAATTAAAATGGAAGCCAAAAGGATCCAAATCCAGCATTTTTTTTTCTGTTGAGTTCAAGTGGCATAACCATGAAGTTCTCTCTGTTTGGCCTAAATACTCTAAGTGGCAAATAAGCAACAGGATTGCAAAACTGACACAAATCTTATTCTGTGCTATGTTAAACAGTAAAATCAAAGTTACATCTCTAACTGGATGCTTCAGAACGCATTCCCATGAGCACTTTGCTTACATGAGTAGCATGGTCTGAAGTCCAAACACACGTCTGCTTATTAATAGACACCCTTGACGTGCAAGGGTTACCTCATGGTTGCTGTCACCTAATTTATGAACAAGGTATCTTAAGGAGGCTTGAATAAACATTTGTTTTTCTACACTCCTCTTTTTTTTAATTGGAAAGCAAAAGTCTAGGCTTTGCAAATACTTGCACAGGACCAACCTTCAGGTAGGTCAACCTAAGCAACTATCTGAATGCTTACAGAATTGGGACTTACTTAGGTCTTTACAAACCTTAATGGTACAGGACACATCTTTTATTATTTATTCACATTTCTTAAGCTTTGCCGAGATCAACAGAAACATTTACAGTTAATGAAGCTAGTTTGTCAACGACAAGTTCATAGAAAACTCATTAAGTAAAAGAAAATTTAATGATGACCTTTTGTGTGTGTCAAGAGTCCCCATGGTCCAAATGCTCTGCAACCGCTGTGAGCACGTGCATGCAGAGGTATTGTATTTTGATTTGGTAAGAAGGGCAGGGAGAAAGGGAGGAGACTGTGACACCAAAAAAACCCCAACAACCTTCTGAAATGTTTGTCTTTCAGGCTGTTCTTAGATTTTAGCATTATATGTTGTTCTGAACACTACAGACTCAAAGCAGAATTATCTGTGCATTGTTTGCTTCCTTGAGTCTGTTTCCAAACCTGAAATAGACTGATGGCAGCAATATTATCTTCCACAGCCTTCAAGTAAATTATGAATTATTTTCCTTTCAAACATAGCTTGAATGAAACTGAAAATTTTCTTTCTGTGCAAAGTTTAAACTTAACAACATGTAGCATGCAAGGTTGTAAACCTAAGTCTAAAAAATCATTACACATTTGTTATGTCCATTTGCCCTTCCTGCTGAGCTACCAAATGGATCCTCTACCTAGATTTGATGTACAGTACTGGGAATTTTCTAATATTATTCTATGCCATTTGCATTTACATTCTCCACTGTCTGGAGCAAGCATTATGAACAAAATGGATTCACGCCATTTGACTGCCACTTTCCATCACAAGCGCCGTACAGAAGGCACCAATTCAGGTTTACAGGCCAGCCCACAGCAACGGCACTGTGGCTACTTCTGTTTTAAATTCTATTCTGTGGAACTGCTAAACAAAACCAAATAAAAGCACCCTTGTACTTCCCCATTGCAAACTATGAATGAAATCATATCAAAAATGAAAAATTGCAGAGTACTTTAACCACATGTGGAATCAACCTCTAACCATAATCTTCCCTTACTCCTCCAACACGAGAGAAAATTATTTCCTTGAGCATTAAAGCATTAGCATTAACAAGAGGGCTGAACACATCTTATGAACTCTCTTTCACTCTTTAACTCACAGAATTTGTGAAAAACTAAACTACACTATAAAAACGAAACTAATTTAATAAGCATGTATATCTTTGTTAAACTAAGTAGAAGCATCAGCTAAAAGCAAAACTAGGAAAAAGACACTGAAAGAGTTGAGCACACTGCCATATGCACGTGGACAGCTCAACAGAACTGATTCCCAAGGCCTTGATCTAATAAAGACCTATGATTACTGGGTTTTTTTTCTTCAAGTCCTGTGGACTTTGTTGTTGTTATTTAGCAGGTTGGAAATAAACTTTAGGAAAAAAAAAAAGGCAATAAAACACACACTGCCCTCCTGCCCTCAGACTGGTCACTGATGCAGGTAACTACCTTCTGCAGATGGTGGCCATGAGGTCAGTTTGGACATGGCTAGGCCCCTTCTGAACGGACAGAAGCCAGTCTGTTAACACTGCCTTTGAAAAGGTGACAAACAATACTCTCGGTCTGATCCTAAAAACGCCAAGAGCCCTTTTAAATATGGAAAATCGTCCTTCGCATGTGGCTACCCTTAGCGTGGATGGATTAGGAGACTATCTTCTGGAACGTGTGCGTTCTCATGGCGAAGAAAGGCAGGCTGGTGTATAACAGCACCGTCCCTAAAACACACCCCACGGACCCACCTCAGCCCCAGGAAAGCCCAAACGCTATCCCCAGTCCAGGCACACCGCTTTGCCCGCCGAGGCTCCTCCTTGCCGG